TCTCAAAAAACAAAAACAAAACAAAACCAAAAACCAAACAATCAAACAAACAAAACTCTGGCTTTCCAAATCCCTCTGGGTACCTACCTACCTACCTGCCTCTGTACGTTCTCTGATTTTGTTTCTCTTTCATCTACCCTCTGTTCCTCTTCAGCTCCTGAAATACACGGGCCAGAAAAGATCAAAGAACCACTTTCTCCTTTCAACACAGTAGTTGCGCACTAAGACTGCAGTCCCTTTCCCATTTGGGGCCTCAGTTTCTCCACTGCTGGGACAAGGAGAGTGGGTGGAGACCTGGTTTCTTCTGTGGAGCGTCCTCTGTCTCCATCTCTTCTTTCTTGTCGCATACCCCATCCTGTTATGCCCCAAGGCCTCTGCCTCTCTGCTTCCTAAGTTTGACTCTGAAGCCTGGACTCTAGTGTTTCAGGGACACCAGTGGGGAGAGGTCTCTGCGACTGTCAGCCAGCAAGGCCTTCAAAGGAAGAGTCTTCACTTCTCCACCCCCTTAAACACCCGTGGAGACAGGGTCCCTTTCTGGGGCCATGTCTGGGATACAAACCAGATTAGGTCATCTCTCTAATCCTCTTTGTGCTGGGGTCTCTGCCAGGCAGGGACACCCACAGCGCAGTGAGTGAGTGAGTGAGTGAGTGAGTGTGTGTGTGTGTGTGTGTGTGTGTGTGTGTGTGTGTGTGTGTGTAAATTCTTGGAGAGGCAAGACACACAAAGTTCTCTCCTCTAGTACCCTCTCCTGCCTGTAAAGGTCAAATCGGCAACCCTCCCTGTGTGAAAAACATCTGAGGCTTGAGCCAAGCTAGCCTGCCACCTCCACTCCAGTATCTGTTGCAGCCTCTCCAGGACTGAATTAGGCATTTCAGTCATCCCCCTGTTCCTGAACAGCCCGGTTTAACGCATCCACCCCTCTTTAACGCATATCCCACAGCCTAATTGTGTGCATTCTGCAGTCATCTTAGAAGGATTTGTCAATTCCTCCTTGAGAAGCCCTGAACTTCCAGAAGGACATAGGGAACGTGGGGGAGGGGGAAATCGGGCTGGCCTTCGGCTTTGCACTCCAAATTGGAAGCCCCCAGCCTGTCCCTGGAGTTTCCTTGGAGAGGTCTCTCTGAGCTGATAAGATCAAAGCATTCCCTCTGCCAAATCATTACCTTATTTTCGAGGCAATTACTGAACTTATTGTATCAATTAGCCAGGCCTCCAGCTGCAGCTTTTTCTCGCTGGCTTTTGGTGCGCTGGCAAAGGGGTCTGCCCAGCCCAGAAAGCCGCGATTGAGAGACAGAAGGGCGGGGTCTGGGCCGGGATGGGCGGCGGAGGGCAGGAGGGCGCAGAGGGGAGTGGAGCCCGCCGACCACTCTGGCCGCGATCGCTCCGTGCCGGGCGCCACACCGCGCGGACGTGGCCCGGAGAGACGCTCCAGACCCTGGGGTGAGGCAGGCCGCCGGGGCAGGGGCTAGAAGAGGGCAAGGCTGGGCGAGCACAGACGCCCAGCCCTCAGCGACGTGCGCGGCAGGCTGGACGGCACCCCGTGGGCAGGGCGCCCCGCCGTGGTGGTTTCTGGAAGGACAAGGAGGACTGAACTTGGGGATCCCTGGGATTCAGATAGGGGTGGACATGAAAAAAAGAGTGAGAGTGTGGTCCTCAGGGATTCCGCCAGGACGCACCTGGAGCCAGATTGGGTAAGGGATCTCTGGAGGTTCTCGGATTTTGGGGTCTTAGAAACACAAACATTACAAGATTCTCCCAAAGAGCTTTTGTTTATATGGGTTATATTCACCCATGTTAGATTAGCACGAACACTGGGACCAACTGTTAAGTTCCTTATGGATGAGGCTAGACCACGAGCAACAAAATAAAAACAGTTCTGGATAGTAAGCCAAAGAATAAAACAAATATCCTTGGGTCTGAACTAATATAAATAAAAAACTGAACAAATAAATAAGTCAACGGGGAAAGGACAGATCTCCCATGTAGAAAGACTTCCAAATAATTTATGTAGACATTGCACCTTCAACGACAGGGAGTATAATTCTAATCCTTAGTTGTGGGCTGTGCATTCTGACATCTTTCCATAAATACAACACAGCTGTGAAGTGTGGCCGGGGAAGGGGATTTTACCACGAAGGAAACTGAACAAATACTTCAGCGGGGTATCAGGCTCAACATGACTAGTGTCAGGGCGATAGTTTTTGCCCGGTGACAAAAATAACACTTGTCACTACAGAGCAACAGGACCACATTTGTTGCTGGAAGATGGTAAAACGGCCCAGTGACTTGGGGAGGCAGTTTAGAAACTTCACAGGAAATGTTATATAGTTCTACTAGGCAATCAAGCAATTGCACTCATTGGGACGTACACACACACACACACACACACACACACACACGCACGCACGCACGCACGCACGCACACACGCACACAACAACCAACCGACCAAACAAAACCCCCTGCACACAGATGTTGATAGCCACTCTCTGAGTAACTGACAAGATTGGGAAGCAACTAACATGCGCTTCAGAGATGAATGGATACATGAGCTGTGCATGCGGAGAATGGAATGTTTTTTAGTGATAAAAGAAAATGAGCTACAAACAGACATGGAGGAGCCTCCAATGTATATTACTAGCAGAAAGAAATGGATAAGAAGGGTTGTGATTCCAACTGTGCATTTCTGGCAAAAGGTAAAACTACAGAAACAAAAGTGTCAGGATTTCCTCCTCTGTGGCCTCTTCCATAATCCTAGTGTCATGAGAAATCATGAGAAAAATATCAGACAAATTCCATTCCAGGAATTTTTTTTTTTTTTTTTTGAGACAGGTTCTTGTGCGGTCCAGGCTGGCCTTGAATTCTCAACCCTTCTGCCTCAGCCTCCCACGTGCTAGGGTGTGCAACATTACACCCTGCTGACAATACATTCTCTTCTCTTTCTTTTTGTAATATTGCTGGGGATATTATTTCCAGGTTGGAGCCTGGAAAAGAATGAGGACCTTAGGAGGAAATAGAGGAAATCTGGTTATGAAAACATTCTTTTTGATTTCTTTGAAATTAGCAAGTTGGTAAGTAAGACTGCTCGGCAGGTAAA